TTCCCAGTCACCCCACACACACACACTGTTCCCAGTCACCCCACACACACACACACTGTTCCCAGTCACCCCACACACACACACTGTTCCCAGTCACCCCACACACACACACACTGTTCCCAGTCACCCCACACACACACACACTGTTCCCAGTCACCCCACACACACACTGTTCCCACAGGCTGATGTAGAAGTAGTGCTCCCCCCATGAATGGCCCCATTACAGCTGCACAGTAATCATTGACAGCCAGTGACCTGGACTCTGGGTTATCCACTGGCCCCAGCCGGCCGCTGCTCATCACATTGCTGCTGTACTTCTCCTCCATTGCTGGGTTCCCCAGGCTGCCACCTCCGCAGTCTAACAGGAAGCCGGCGCCGCGCACTGCCCCCTCATCTGAGGGCACTGGGAGAAGCGGGTCCAATGAGGGGAATCACGATCTGCGGCCGCCCTGCTTCCCTGTCCTAGAGGGAGCTGTGTGCATGGACTGTCCGGACACCCAGCTGGCACTGCGAACCATACTACACCGCCTCCGGCACTGCCAGCTAGAACACCGGCCTCTGCTGATGACGGAGGTGGGAGCGTCACCTGACTGCGTGACGTCAGAGTACAGAGTACAGGGACAGAACGTGGCCAAATCTCCTCAATCTTTCTTGCCACTTGCAGGCACTGCACAGAACAGACACTGAATTACAGCGCCATCTACCGGCTGCAGCGTGTTCAAACACGCAGTAACAACATGCACTCAATAGAATAGATAGATTCACTTTAACCCCTTAAGGACCGGACTGTTTTTGCAATGTTGTACATTTGCGACCAGGCGTCTTTTGACATTTTTGTGGTGTTTGTGTTTAGCTGTAATTTTCCGCGCTCTCATATACTGTTCCCATACAAATTATATATTGTTTTTTTTCAGGACAAAAAGGGCTTCCTTTACATACCATTATTTATATAATCTCATGTAATTTAATCTTAAAAAAATAAAAAAATATGATGAAAAATTGAAAAAAAAATACATGTTTATTGACTTTTACTTGAAAAATCTTTTACTCATCTACAAAAGCGAATGAAAAAAAAACTACTAAATAGATTCAAAATTTTGTCCTGAGTTTAAAAATACCCAGTGTTTACGTGCTTTTTTGCTTTTTTTGCATGTTATAGGGCTATAGGTACAAGTAGGATATTGCGGTTTCAAAACATACATTTTTAAAATTTATCAATAGTGACATTGTAACACTATTATCTGTCATAAATCTCTGAATAACACCCCACATGTACATATTTTTTTTTAAAGTAGACAGTAGTGAAAAATGCAAAAAAAGTCACTTTCACTGACAATATCATCGCTGTGATATGTTTTACTTTTTTGAATCACTAATATTTGTGTTCAGCGAAGTCTCCCGAGTAAAACAATACCCCCCATGTACAGGTTTTAGGGTGTCCTAGGTAAAATATAGTGCTAGCAAATTAAATTCTCTGGGCTTTCGGCCTGGGTTGGCAGGCAGGTTCCTCAAATTGCAATCAATAAAATTACTTAATTATTTAAAAATATTACATAAATACACAAGTAGAAATTAAATATATAAGCATATTTATATATTTGAAGTCTACGTGTATATTTATAGAATTATTTATGTAATTTTGTATATAGACATATGTATATTTCGTATTATTTTTATTTATTTATATATACATAGATATATATACAATTTCATTCTAAGTGTATTTTGATATAAATATATATATATATATATATAAAGAATGATAGGAGTTGCACTCCAGCTCTCCTTATTAATTGCCCGGTGCTCGGCTGCACAAATGTATAGTTTTTAGAAAAAAGTCAGCACTCAAGGACTTTCAATGTACTAAAAGAATTCAAAAAAACCTTTTAATCCAGTTGTTCAAAGAGGTCAACGTTTCAGTCCATCGTCGTGGACTTTCATCAGGACATAAATGACAAGACATAACATTCAGTTTAAATAAGAAAAAACTAACTTACCAAGCCGTTTCCACCTGTGTGCCGGGGTGGTCTGTTCCCCAGTGCGCATGCGTGTCACTCCGCTCATCTACTTCCGGTGTCAGAGTGCAACCTACCCGTCACCCTAGCAACCTGTGAACAGATCGCTAGAAACAGCGCATGCGTGTGTGTATCACTCCGCTCATCTACTTCCGGTGTCAGAGCGCAACCTACCCGTCACCCTAGCAACCTGTAAACTGATCGCAAGAAACAGCGATCCGTAATAGCATATTAAAAGTGCCCAGTGCTGTAATGTCATCTTAGTGTTCATATTAAACTGGCAACAAATATAGCCAGTTTGGCTGTTCACATTCTCATATTCTTATTAATACAGTGAAGATCAATTAATCTATTTGTGTAAGTGCATAACATAATACAGACTAGAAAATTGTGATAAAGAGAGGTAAAGGATAAAAATTAATTTACCTCATATACAGAAAGTGCAAGTGCTTAAAATAAAAGTGCTGACAGTAACGATTTGTTAAAGTGATAGGTGCAAATATATACATTCTATCAAATGATTGAGTAAGTGAACACACTTAATTGCTATGGGGTTACAGTATTATATAATATAAAATCACTACCTAAACATCAAATATAATAACATATGTTCTACTGTTTAACAGCACTATCCCCAAGTGTCAAAATTTAGAGACAAAATATTATTTATATATAATTATGTCCCTATTCAATTATAGATAGATACTAGGGAGTGGAAACAGCCACCCTCCTTAAAAAATTCTTTTGTGAAACACAACTCACAAAAAAATTCTTCTTTTATGCCTATATCTTAATCCCTATTAGATACACTGGGAATATGTGCTGCAAATATGTTTATAAACAGAAAAAAATTAATAAAATCAATACGGAAATTCATCCAACCACTTAGATAAACGATGTGAATGTCAATTTTTCATTAAGGCCCATAGGGGCCATAGTATTTAATTCACGAATCCAAAATGTCTCTCTCTGCAACAATGCCTTAGAGCGATTTCCTCCTCTCCTAGATATTGGAATGTGGTCAATGGCTATACATTTCAATGTTGTAAGTGGATGTTTGTGTTCAAAGAAGTGACGGGCCACCGGTTTATCTGTGCTGCCATCTCTAATCGCCGTACGTATGCTTGAGCGATGTCCCCTTATTCTTTCGCACAATTGTGTGTCAGTTTTCCCAACATAATGTAATCCACATGGGCATGACAATTTATAAATGACATGATCTGTTTTACAGGAGATGCGTTGTTTGATTATATATTTCTTCTGGGTGTGTGGATGAAAAAAAGACTTTGTGGGAATAAGGTGCCCACAGGTCACACATCCTAAACAACGGAAGCAACCTGGATTGAGAAATTTATTCTGATTCCACAGATAACTCTGTTCTGGATCAGTGCGGACTAACAAGTCTCGCAAGTTTTTCTCCCTCTTATAACATATCATTGGACTTTGAGAGAATATTGTAGGTAAAGTTGGATCTCCTGTTAAAATATTCCAGTTCCCCTTAACAGCTTGAACAAGTTTGGTGCTAGCAGAATTGAATTTCATAGGGAAAGTTAATCTTGTTGTCCTTGTTTGTTGTTGTACATTCACAGTGTTCACCATTTCCATTCTAGCTTTTTCTAAAGCTGCATCAAGGATGTACCGATTGTATCCCCTCATAAGAAATTTATTATACATACTATCTACTTGATTTTCAACCCGTTCAGCCGATGAATTATTCCGAAACACTCTTAAAAATTGAGTGTATGGTAAGGATTTCTTGCTGTGTTCAGGATGTGCACTCTCAAAGTGCAATATGGTGTTTCTATCAGTAGGTTTTGAGTAAAGCTGATATTCTATTTTGATATCTTTAATGAAGATCTCCAAATCCAGATGTTTGATGTTTGCCGTGATTTTAACAGGACTAGGGAGGCCATTAATATTCTTCACGAATTGCTCAGCCTCGGCAATTGAGCCGTTCCACAAAATCAAAATGTCATCAATAAAACGCACATATTGTACGATTCGTTCTCCATATGGATGTAAGATATACTCTCTCTCAAAAATGTGCATGTATGCATTCGCATACATCGGCGCCATCGCCGCTCCCATCGACGTTCATGAGCACTGCATATACCATCGGGTTTCGAATCTAAAATAGTTGAGTTGGAGGGTTAGCATAAGCAATTCCATGACAAACTCAATGGGAGGACCCTTATAATAAGATGATTCCAATAGTGTTCGTCTCATTGCTTCTATACCTTCCTCGTGGGGGATTATGGTGTAAAGACTCTGCACATCTAATGTAATCAACACCAAATTTGTGGGGACATGTTCAATGCTCTTCAATCTAACAATCAAATCCCGTGTATCTTTAATGCACGTTGATAAATGCTCGACCGGTTCTTTAAATAGGAAGTCCAAATATTTAGCAATAGGCTCTAACACCCCATCAATGGCAGAGACTATGGGACGTCCAGGCGGTAGCTGTAAATTCTTGTGTATTTTTGGCAACGTGTATATAATTGGTGTTCTCGGGTTGTCTTTCTTCAAAAAGTTGAATAAATCCAATTCTATAAATCCCGCTCTTAAACCTGTAGTAAGGATATCTTCAATTTTACACATCACCATGGAAGTAGGATCATTATTCAAGGGAGTATATGTATTACGATCTGCCAATTGTCTGTTGATTTCTGAAGCATAATCTCCATAATTAAGGAGCACAGTCCCACCTCCCTTGTCCGCTGGTCTCAATACAATAGATGGATCATTTGCTAGACCCTTTATAAGGTTATGTTGAGCTCTAGACATATTACTATGTCTAACTCGATGTTCCTTAAGGATACTGTCAGTTTGAGTCTTCAAAGATGTGAGGAAGGTCTTAATGGCAGGATGACTCGGTGGAGGGTCAAAGGAACTTTTCATTTTAAACTTAGATGTTTGAGTCATCATATTTTGTTTCCTATTGCCCTTTTCAAAAAATTCTTTGAGCCGAAGATTTCTGCCAAATTTAAACATTTCCACTTGCCATTGAAATTTCAATGGCAAGTGGAAATGTTTAAATTTGGCAGAAATCTTATGGTATATGCAGTGCTCAGGAACGTCGATGGGAGCGGCGATGGCGCCGATGTATGCGAATGGATACATGCACTTTTTTGAGAGAGAGTATATCTTACATCCATATGGAGAACGAATCGTACAATATGTGCGTTTTATTGATGACATTTTGATTTTGTGGAACGGCTCAATTGCCGAGGCTGAGCAATTCGTGAAGAATATTAATGGCCTCCCTAGTCCTGTTAAAATCACGGCAAACATCAGTGATACTATGGTACAATATCTGGATTTGGAGATCTTCATTAAAGATAACAAAATAGAATATCAGCTTTACTCAAAACCTACTGATAGAAACACCATATTGCACTTTGAGAGTGCACATCCTGAACACAGCAAGAAATCCTTACCATACACTCAATTTTTAAGAGTGTTTCGGAATAATTCATCGGCTGAACGGGTTGAAAATCAAGTAGATAGTATGTATAATAAATTTCTTATGAGGGGATACAATCGGTACATCCTTGATGCAGCTTTAGAAAAAGCTAGAATGGAAATGGTGAACACTGTGAATGTACAACAACAAACAAGGACAACAAGATTAACTTTCCCTATGAAATTCAATTCTGCTAGCACCAAA